TTTTTTTTTGTGGATGACAGTTACCCCTACTTTTTTATACTAATGGTGGTAATGCACTAAATAATTTTTATTTAATTAAATAATGCACCAAAGAACATAAAATAATAACATGCAAAAAGTATACAATTACATCCAAGCTAGCTGTTGTCATTCAGTGGGAACCAAAGTTGCATTTCAAGTAAAATTGGTGATTATCTGATCAGAACACTATGTAATAGAATACATCAATTGATAGATGAAAACCCTAGTTTTCTACTGGTTATAGAAAATATATAGTTAAACGTAAGGGAGAGCTATTAACAAATCCTGAAAGAGAGGATTTGACAGGTGGGTGTGGCAAGAGGGGTCTGATTTTCTATTTGATGGCTCTGTAACCGAACAATGATGATTTTATAGCGAGTAATTTATGTTAAATTTTGTACTTATTGGAGGGGTGATAAATAACATAGAAAAGAGGGGATGCCTCAAGAAAATATGTCAGATTTCTATCACTAGGGGAAATTCAGGATTTTTTTAAATATTGCCTTATAAAATTAAGAACGTAAAATTTATATACTATTAAGATATGGATTATTAGCTATGATTTTATGCTATACTAATTGGTATAACTAGGAAAAAGTAGATTAAATCTTGTAACATGCTCAGTAAAGGATGCCCATTGCAGAAAGAGTTAAAAAATCTGATCTTCTGTGTACGACAGATTTATAATATGTACTAAAAGCTTACTAACTTTTGTGAAGATACACTTTGTAAATTCAGAATTACAGTAAACATTACTATTTAAAGTTTTACAGAAATGAGATTGGTCTAATGGATAAATGCTGTGCCTATAAAGCTAAGCATATATAAGAAAATCCCCATTCTCGTTGCAAGTAAGCCAGCATGGCCAGGTGGTGAAAGTCTGTGTTTTGACGTGTAAGTTGGAATCTGACTTATGTTGATTAACTATGTCAAATAAAATACTTTTTAAATATGTAAAATACTCTTTGGCCTCAAATACCTAAGAAAAAAAAATCAAAACAAATGGTCAGAAAATAAGTAATCATTTTTAACCTTACAATTTGCTAATAAGCATAAAATATCTTGTAGAACATCCAAAAATTCATGGGTTTGACCTTCAACATGAATTCCATCTTTGAAGTCAGAACCATGATTTTTCCCATGTTTTATAAGCTATAAGTTGGATTCGAATATTCAATTTTCACAACAAAACACACCGGCTTTCATTACCAGACCACACTGGTTTACTTGCGGAATTTTCCTATATATAGATGGTTAATGGTAAAAGTCCCTAAATTTAGGGTCCAATTTTGCCACAAAAACACCATATGATGAAGAAAAAATTGTTTGGGGATACAAATTCAGAGTATAAAAATATACATTGGTGAAATATCAGTCTGGGCATTTTGGGCTGTGATAATTGCTGAGGTACCTGTGTTAATAGTTATTCAATATTAACTTTTTTTTTGAAAGTACAAAATTTTATTTACATACAGATTGGAAATATGCTCTTTGTAAATGTCTTCATCATAAAATTAAACTGTATAATATGACACACAGGTTGATAAGTTTTGAAATATACATTCAGATGAAAAGCCTTACAAGAACCAAATTTAAACTCAATAGCCCCTGTTGTGTTTTATCTCTTCCTGTGTCCTCTTTAGAATTCAGTTTTTTGTAAAGAAGCTTCATTGATGTTTCCTTGCAGATAAATAAAATCATCTACATTAGTAAGGAGAGTTTTCTGAAAAGATTGTTTTATGGAATGTGGCTTGAAACAGTGGTAAAGCCTCAAAACTAACTTTTTGTTAAAGAGATTATTTTTCAAGAATCATACTGCTTCATTGTACATTTGTTGCTAATGTCAAATACTTAGAACAGTAGGTAGGATGTCATGAGAGTATTTGTCTTGCTAGCTTGCATTTCACTGTAAAAACGATATTGAGAATTGGAGCAAATTATCATTTACTGGGCAATGTAATAAGGATGGGAAAAAGTATATTGGTCACAAAATTTTGGACTTAAAACAATTCATAACCAAATTAAGCACTTTTTTTTTACTTGAATATATCATCCCAAGGAGATCTGATTTTTAGCTCCCAACATGAATTTTTAAATGATATTCTCTCAGTATCTTTACAAGTTTCCAAGTAGTGTGCATAGCTACCCACATGTAGTTCTCACACTTCATTGGTTAATTTCTGCAACTCATTGTACTTCCCACAAACAAAACCCAAAACTCTCAAGTAATTGGTTCCCTGTTGGAAGCAGTGAATTGATGGCCTTCTAACTTGGATGACTACCCCACAATCCATAAGGGATACTGCCTCAAGAGTTCTGACCGTGGTAGTTAACACCAACTTTTTCATAGCTTCCACTGTACTAAGAGGTTAGCATCATCAGTTCATGATTGTCAAATTCGTGGTTTACTTATACTGGGATTTTTCCTTCTACTAAGTGTCAGTATGATGGCTATGAACATCAGTTTTTCTCTATAGCTCTTTTGTTTTGCTCTAGCTAATTAGTTAACTGTACTTTGCCTATTTTAAGCTAGAACTAGGCAATTTTTCTTATGCCATCTTTCTTGTGTGAGCTTGAAGACCAGAATCTTTCTCTACTATTTTCCTCAATTTTTATTTAATTATCGTAGCAGTTGTATGAAATGTCTACTATTCCCAATTGCTTCAGTAATGTTAACTCTGATCCTCAACCAAAATCATTAGTAAATTCCCATACTACAAACTTGAAAATGTACCCCCCCCCCAAAAAAAATATCCTTTTGTCCATTTTTTTTGTTAAAAAAGATTGTACATTACTTTTTACAAGAGAAGTGTTGATACAGTCCACTAAAGTGAGCTTAAAACATTAGAAAAAGTTCACTTTTATGATTGGCTAATAACAATGTTTTAGTCATTAAACTTTTTTATCATGGACATAAATTTTGTATGGAGTTCAACTGAGTGTGAATGGCTGTGTGTGGTAACAGTACAGTATATGCAGCTCAGTTAATTACATTACCACATTTTTATTTTTTTTATATACAAGTTACAGCTTTTACAGTAAGTAAGATTTATTTTGAAAACAGGCACAGTGTTTCAATCACTGGTGCAATCATTCTCAAATACAAAAGTTTTAACAGTAAAAAACGTTTAGTATTTAAATCAGTATTCAACCAATGTAAAGAAATTGTCAAATATATATACATATACTTAATTAGTAAGTAAACTCAACATGAAACTATTACCACACATTGTATTGCACGATGTTTGTATGCATATACATATATATATATATATTGGAGGGTGGAAATTTGTAACAAAAACGATAGTATAGATGCTTACGACAATAAAGCTAACATGGTTGTTTCAACTTCTTACCGTTAAACCTTCGGTAGGAACTAAAACAATCAACTTTACAAAATTAAACTCAGAATTTTCACCATTCACATCACAGTTGAAACACTGATGCCCCTTTTGATTACGCATGTATAGGCCTAAGGCTAACGTTAGACAGACATGACCAATCAGGTTTAGGAAATACGGAAGACATAGCTACCATGAGGAAATCCACGAATTAAACAGGACATAATAGTGATAACTGAAAACAATTTTATGAAGTTTTGATCAGTACGAAACAGAATAACAAAAATAAAATAAGGCTAGCTTTGCCTCTATCCAGGTCAATACAAACTACGAGTCTGAATGACAATACATATCAACAGCATGTGTGTACATGTACAGCACTCAGACACTGTGTACTTATTAGGGTATAGTAATACATGTGAGAGTTCCAATGCAAGTCTAGTCTTATTGCAGGCTGTACTTGGCAGGCAGGCCAAACTGGTTAGAAGCAAAACATTGAATGTGATTGGCCAAGATCACTGTTCTGTTTAAAAGTTTTACAGATCATTGACTGTTTGTTTCTTTAAGATACTGTGTAACATTAGTAGAGTTTGGGCTTATTTTTTCCAATGTAATAAAACTTCCTGGGAAATAAGGCATCAAATATTAGTTGAATAAAGAGGCAAAATTGCCAACTAAACATTAATTGTACTTTTTGGAAGTAAATAAGATATAAAAACATCAAATTTCCAATAATTGAGTTATTTTTAGGGTCTTTGTACATCAGTATTGTCATAATTGGATCTTTTTTGAGGGTCTATGTTGTTCTTTCAGACAGTGAATGCAGCCTTCCACACAACATCTGATACATGTCAGATAGTCCAAAGGACAACCTGGAAATTTCCTTAAAATCAAGCCCTGTAATGTTATGAGTATCTGCTTGAGAAACTTTTTTGCTCATGTAATGCTATGGTTATTTTTGTCCAAGAATAATAATTTTTAAAGCTATTTATTGTACTGCATTGCCAAATTTTACTGAAATTATGTGGATTATCTTAAGCCCAAAGTTTGATAGTTTGTTTTACTTAATCATTGTTAATTTGGCTCAAAAATGTGAATGATATTTTTAAGTCAGGAGAGAAAGTTTATAGTTACAACTACTTCCTTAATGTATTTGTAATACTTAATTTTTTTAGATTTCATCATTTTGGTGTATTACAGGGTTTGAAAGTTTCATATTTTTTCATAATATGTAGGGTAAACCTGTTAGTAATCCGTCTAAACTGCTGGTGGATAGAGCCTTGAACCGATGGTATAGCTTGAAAATGCGTGCTGACAACACAAGCGTTATCACAGTTATGTTGGATCCCCCTGGACCTCCTAAAAGTGAGGTTCTACTTCGACAACGAATGATGCAGAGGTTACGACCCCGTGATGAACAAGCAGAGGTTGTTCCAGATAGCATGAGTAAGATTTGGAAACACAGCAGTTTCTTTAAAGCCATTTTTAATTACAAAAATATTCTGACAATACAAAAATTGTGATTTTTATTGACTTGTGGGAAAAGTTGGCATGACATACTACTCTTTTAACAGACAGCAGTTTTAACAGTTTTGTGCTATTTCCATGGTATAGGTGAATTTGATTGTTATTTGGCACTTTTTTTTACCACCTCTGTGCTTGAATGGAATTTTTACATGCTAGATTACATCTCATACCTATCCTTTTTGCTAAATCTGACTGATTATGCTGAAATAAGTTTATCTGAAATAGATTGATTGCTGAAATATATGCATTTTAAAGCTTACACTATCTAATATCTTTAGAAATATTGTTATCAAATAATACGTTTTTAATTTGTTGAATGTTTTAAAAGGTGTTTACAGAATCTTCAAATCTATTTTTGCCATACCTTACTGTACAATATAGAAAGCTTGGCTAATTATGAAATATTTTATCTACTAACAATGTTGTCAGTTTCAGATAATAATTTTGAACTAACCCTCTATTTTTTTATGTCCTCCACTACTGTTGGGGCATAAATATTGTATGGAATAATTTTACATTTATGCTCGTTACAACACTAGTGTAAAGAACTGATGAACAACTGGGTAAAATCATTAATTCCAAATGTAATCCTTACTTTTCTGCATTCAATAACTATTTCTCATGTTTCTGCTTTTTAGATTTCCCATCTATCACTGTTTTAATGTGAACTGCACTAGTGCATGATGTAATCATCATACAACATTATACCTTCACCAATAGGAGGGCAACACATCCTCCATGTGCAGTAGGTCCACAAAGAACTTGCACTCAAAATTAACTTCATTCTTTTCCTTGGCACTGTTATGAACAGACATGTTTCTTGAAGATTAGACTTGGTTCATTGTAGTGAGATTTGCACTGCCTTTATTTCTGTGTTTACTTTCATTCATTTTATTTTCCTTGATATTGAAATTTATTTCAACATACATTGCCTTTCAATTACTATGCAATATAGAAAACTCGAGAATTGTTTTAAATTCTCAAGTGATGGTGATTACTACCTCCTCCCAAGGTTCTGGTAAAATAGCTAACACTGTCCCCACTTTGTCTGTGACCAGTGGAGGCTCATGTGGATTTGTTAATACATTCATTGCTTCATTTCCCTGACCCTAGGTCAGGAATGATTCCCCCTCTGTCTGTACCTGGCAATGAAGACAATGATTTTGATTAGTTCTTTCCACCTGCTGGGATTGCACTGGGCTTCTCTTTACCTATAGAGGCCAGTGTTCCTTCTCCAAATCTTGGTTTCTCTGTTGTAGGGATCTTCTAGAACATGATGATCTTCTTTCTGCTGTTCATCTTTCCCATTCTTACCTCCATATGGCTCCTTTTCTTCACCTTGAAATATTTGGTGGTGTTTCTAACATCTTAGAGAGACTGTTTGAGGCCACCTGACACCAGTCCTCCCTTATCTCTACAATCATCATGACTCCATGCACACATTCCTTGACCCTGTGAACTCTCCACCCTTCTCTTTACTTTTTTTCATTGTTCTCCCTCCTGTCGACTTGTTGTCACATGTCCTATCAGTGACTACCTTCCTTTCTACCTATTTGGCTCAGGCCCTGTGGGGACATGTCTGTTTTTGTTTGCAGACCTCTGGACCCCATTTACAGCTATATGGTTGTTCATTCCTGTTCTTACACAAGACTTTTCTCATCACTCTCTTCAGACTCCTTTTCTCTGGTCTTCAATGTCTTGAGGCTGTAATAACAGATATCTTGGATGAGAGAGGGTCCTTTGTCCCTCTGCAGGCTTTTTTTTTTTCTGGTTGGTCATTCCTGTTCTTATACAAAGCTTTTCCCAGATCTTCTTGTCTCTTCCTCTTTTGTTTCCTTTTCCCCCTACTTCTGGTCTTTGATGTCTCGAGGCTGCAATATTGGATATTTTGGATGAGAGAGCCAGTGAGAGTGTCCTTTGTACTTTTCCAGGCTTTTATACTCATCTTTTTATTGTTCTGTAGAAGACCAGGGAATAGTGTCCCATCATCAACTTTTCTTCTCTCAACCACTGTCTAGTGGTTCCTCAGTTTAAGATGGAGGGGTTTCTTCCTCTCCATTGGTCCTTTCCTCTGGACTGTGGATGACGCCTTGTATGTCTTTCTACATATTCCAAATGATCAGTCATTCACACTCTCTATGTTGACTCAGATAATCCCAGTCCTGTATATGTATGTCTAGACAATTAAGTATGTTTACTTGCCTTATTGACACATAAGTTTAAAAGTTTCTGGCTGAATGCAGTAGAAACAAGTAATAAATTTTTCAACCCTGGACGGGTGCTACGCCCACCTTCAGTACATATACTTGAGCTTTATAACTTACATGTAGTTGCTACATATACATGTTTATACTTATTTTGAAATTGGTGCTCAGGTGTCGGCAACATGTAGATGTAACTGACTGTAGTATTGTTAGCTGCTTTATCCATGATAGCACTTACATTTTTTCTTAGCTAAACATGTTATAGTTAGAGAGATGGTTAAATTGTATTTAGATCCTACTTTTATATCTTAGCTAATTATGTATTATTTATGTTTTAAAATGCATAACTGAAATGTTTAAAAATTTTTTAAATATACATCATACTTTGCATCAGTTCTCAAGGCTTAAGATCTTTCACAAGGGGAAGATAATTTTGCCTGAAGGCTTGTACATCTATGCTGAAGATACTGTGTTTACACCCCAAGGGCACCACCAACTTGTGCCGAGATGAGTATTGAAAGGTGAAGGACAGGAAAGGAAAATAAAACATTAAAAATTATCTATATGTGAAAAGGAAAAAAACCCTAAAATCATGAATTTAACAAAAGGAAACTCTTTAAAGATATTCTACATTAAAAAGTATGTATTTTTTCTATTTCCTAGTTTTAATTATATCGTTGCATTGTACGTTGATGATAATAGCTACAATTAGTGATATGACAGAGAAAATTATAAATAAAATATAAAAATTTACCTTAAAAAACTTTTGATATTCATTTGGGAGATTCAAGAGGTTATGAAAATGAAATATGAAACTATAAGATGAGGAAAAAAATTTTTTATTTAAAATGAAAATCGCTTTGCACTCTATCTATTAAGAGTTTGAGTGCAAATAATTACAATAGATAAATAACATATTTTTAGTAGAAATAGTTAATTAAAATAATGTAATTCTTTGTGTACAACATACTTATAATCTTAAACAGAATTTTAACACTTTTTATTGAGAATATGTTAAAAAATCTCAGAGTTAAAGTATGTATTGTTGCACAAGTGAAATTCTATATAGCCCCCTGCAAATTGCAGGTACCCATACCAAAAGGGTTATTACATAAACATTTGGCTTCTTCTCACCTCTTGTTCAAAAGCCTCTTTTTTTTAGCCATGTCACTTCTCCAAGACGCTGCTCATCTGGGTTGGATGGTCAAACTTTCCAAGTTGTTCCTCACTCAGACCCAATATTTGGTCCACCTTGGAATCATTTTTTATTCTTGCCTCCATTGGATTCAATCTTCCTCCCATTCATTTGCAAAACATATAGTGTCTAGTCTCCTCAATTCTTGTCTCTCCTATACTTTCTGTGCACAAGATTCTGTCTGTTTTGGGGCACTTTAGTGTCCCTCATACATCTTGTCCCTTTAGGCCATGCTCAAATGAGACTTCTTCAATGGATTTTGAGCCATCAGTTGGGCCATTTCTCTGGATGATTCCATGATCTCCGAGGTTTGATTTCATTTGGAGTGTACTTTCCACATCAATGTTCTGGAACTTTTGACTTCCCATTGGGCATATTCTTCTGTTGAGGACTGGTGATCACATGGTTATGATCTACTCTGATAATTCTGTGGTTGTTTCCTCTCTTAATCATTAGGGTGGGACTCACTCCAAGGACCTTTGCTTCTGTAAGTTGGACTTTCTGGTTTGGGTCCACTCAAGTTGGGTTTGTTTAACTACCTGTCATGTCCTTGGGGCTTTGAACTTGGATTAGATTATCTCTCTTGACTGGGCAGGATTATTCCTTTGGAATGATCACTCCATCCTCAGATCTTTCATTGAATCTGTTCCCAGTTGGGCATGCCAGTGATTGATACTTATGCCACTACTTTCAATTCCAAACTTTTTCCCTTCCCCAGTACCTCTGCTGTGGATGTCCTCAGTTATGACTGGCCTTATCTCATAAATCTTCCTTTCACCCAAGAGTGTCTTCACTTGTGGGATTTGTCCAGTCCCTTGCTCATTAGTTATGTTTCCCTAACTGCATAGCCCTTCTTTTATCTTGTTTGTGTTATTTTCTACTTTCTTTGTCTATCAATAATAATGGTGTGTGTTTCACTGCTGGTTCATCCACCATGCTCACCTACCTTTCAGCCTTCTTTCCCTCATTGTTCGACCATAGATTGTCAGTTTCTACTGTAGCAGGCTATCGAGTGACTTTGTTGATTGCCTTTTGACTTTTTTGCTGTGGTTCCATCTTTTCCTTCCCTGTTCTTTCCACCTTTTTCCTCATTCATCACTCCATTATCCATTTTCTTTGCCTGTGGTTCTACATGCTCTTAAACAGACCCTGTTTGAACTATGGGCCTCATGCTCATAATACCATCTCTCTCTCTCTCAAAACCTATTTTCTTCTTCTTACTTTTTGGTCATCACATATCTTATCTTTATGCATTGGATGCCTTCTGTACTTGGTTTCACAGATTGTCCTTGATTTTGTTCCTTGACTACTTGTCTCCCATTACCTGTCACTATCTGTCAGTTTTGTCTCCCTCTGGATATTGTCTTCCTTCATTCACCATTTGCCAGTCTAGTTACCATCAGATGGTTACGTACCTTATTTACTTCCTTACCCATTTCTACTCTCCTATGATTCACTTCTCAGAATTCATCCAGTGGCAGATGTTAACATACAGGGTATAATTACTACCCTAAATCCACATTGAATCAGGGGAAACAGAAACTGTTAAACCCATCTGCGCTGGCTCTTAAAGTGTCCTCTGTTGAGATGGGGTTTTCTGCCAGACCACACCTTCCATGGACTATCATTGAAAAAAGCTAGCACCAGTGGAACTAATTACAATATTGAAGGTATTTTTATTTAAACTTTCTTTTATGTAACTGCCATGTTATCCATATGGTTATGGCTTGTACCCATTTGGCTTACTTCTTGTATGGAGACACAGTTCAACAATTCTTACAATAACTCTGAGTTTGCTTAACATATCTTCACAACAATTGGTAAGATTTTGTTAAAGATTACAATTATTGTCTACACAAAGAATGAGATCATTTTAGTTTACTATTTTCATTAAAGCTTGTAATTTTCTTATTATAATTACTTATGCTCAGACTCTGAATATTTCAAGTATTATCATCAACATATTGTGCAGTGAAATAATTAAAATTAATAATAGAAAAAATGTACATACTTTTTAATTTTTTGTCAAATAATCTTAAAAGATCTTTCGGTTATATTCTTAATTACAAGTTTTTACATTTTCATGTAGTTTACTTTGAATGTTTTATTTTCCTTTATCATTATTAGTTATTGTGACACACATTAACGGGCATCTTCAAGCAACATAACAATATCATCAGCAGAGATTCTTTAGCCTTCGTCAGAATGTTGGGACACTTGCGTACTAAACTAAGCCTCATGAACCGAAGCAATTTGGCTTCTATTTAAAAAAATTATTAAACCTTTCTAATATGCATTTTAAAACATAATTAATACATAATTAACTAAAATATAAAACTAAAACCTATATACAGCTTAATTGTCTATTTAACTAACATACTTATATAGTGAGAAACATTACAAAGTGCTAGAAAGGATATACGGGGCAACAGTACAGAGAGTGGATTCAAGGATTTGTATGGAATTCTGTGCACCAATTTGAAAATAACCAATGGAAAATTGTAGTGTAAAATTAGCTCTTTCTATTGGTTATAAACATTTAGAGAAATATATAGTTTAGAGTGCAAAATCATATGATTATGTGTAAAAAGTGAGCATGGCTTCAGTCAAGAGTTCCCCCTAGAGAGTTATTTTTCCTTTCTTAAAACTTGACCTAGGAATTTGAAGGGAGGATGTATAAGCAGAGCATTTAACCTAGTTGCAGTCAATACATTAAGATACAAGGTACAAGAAGAATTACTTAAGACTGAAAGGCTTATAAATGCTTGTGAGTCACAGGAAAATGAAACTGAAGATTAAGATATTTTTTAAGAGTTTCTTTTGAAATAAAGGAATTAAAACATTGAATTATAATGAACATTATAATGCTAATATCATTGACATGCATTGATAGTAAAGTTACTTAATTAAATTTTGAATGTAACTCAGTAAAACCTTGTGATATGTGCTGAAAGGGGACATGTAGCCATAGGGATATTAGAAACCAACTAGTAATTTGTTGCAAAAAAAAAATTTTAGAAAAAGTGTTTAAAAAATAACCAATGGAATGATGGATCTCTCTGGTATTTTGTGATATGCTTCATATGACACGTACATAATTTATATCATTAGCTGATGCTAATTCATTAATTAACATTGTTCTGAATCACACCTACTTTGGGAATTTACGTACCCTCCTTCCTTGAGATATCTAATTATGATGCAAAAACAACTTAAAGTAGTGTTTGGGTAATCTAAAACCTTTTTATCTGAAATGTAACATTCATGTGTATTTTGTTTTATACAACTGTGTTTTAGATGATATTAGTGATTCACCTCTTGCTTGGAACTAATATAATGAAAGTGTACATAAACCACTAGTGAATACTGTTCCTAATGTAATATGTGGTTTTAACATTTTTTTTCTGTGGTGAAGTACTCTGTTAAGTTTACTTAAAATTAAGTTTGGCTATCATAAATAAAAGAAAAATATTTGGAATTAAAATAGAAGCATTCTTTATATAGATAGTTACCTTAATTATTCAGCAATTTGAAATGGAGGTAAAAATTAGACATATAATTCTATGGACAGGTATAAATCATAAATTATGTATTTTTTATCATGACTAATAATTAAAGTTTTAGCAAACTTAACAACTAGAAATTTTTAGAATCATGCAGAATAAATTAGCTTAGATTACTTTTTAAATTCAAATTATAATTCAAATTTTAGTATTATACATTAGCTAATTTCTTAATTTAAAAGTAAATAAAAAACACCTAATTATCGATTTTTGTGTGTCATGTGGTATGTTGAATGCAGCACTGGTTCAAATTAGATGTTTGTGATGTCCAAGTAAAGTCTATAATTTTGTAGGAATTAGGAACTCAAATTACCGATATTGGCAAGCTAGAATATAAAATAAGAACATCCTATCTTTTCTATTTGCTGAGATATTGCTACGTTTACTGAATCAAACACAGTGGCCCCATCCACATCTTTCCATTTTTGGAAACACATCCTTATGTACACATACTTCTCTCTCTCTATGACATGGAATAACCAATCAAAAGCTCAGAATATCCCCTAGTGGCTTTCTCAGTCATTCTGAAGTATTAGGGTGCCAATCTCATTCTTTTGTAACAAGATTTCAAACTAGTAAGGCAAGTATTAAGTGAGCTCAAAATTTAATATTTTTTAGACCCAAATATAGCTTAGTTACCAAGCTTGATAAACTGTAGTGGGATTGATATAGTAATATGTGATTTTTTGGTTATTTCCAATGTATATAAAACCTAAAAAAATTATTTCATTTCACATCCTCCATGTGCAAAATTTGATAAGGTTTAGCAACATAGGCAGCAAACAAGTACATAGTTCGTATCTTGAAGAGATAATTGTTTGCTATACTTCTTTATTTACTATTCTGTGTTTTAAGAAAAATATGTTTAAGAACTTATTTATAAACAGCAATAATCTATATACATATATAATGTATTATAACTGGAATGTGACTGTATTTTACAAAATACTAGTCCACTAAAACAGAGCCAAGACAGGTCACTTTGTAAAAGCCAGTTTTATACTCATGGATACAGTAACATGAGTGCACGTGCACAGTGTCATTGCAACTTCTGTAATGTTAGCTTGGCATGGCTGGAAGGTCAATATAATAAAAATAATAAATATATATGTATAATATTATGAGATTTAAGCTATTTAGACTAAACATCTGTGTTTTCATGTTATAATTTGTAGTCATTCTAGAATGAAAGAGGCATAATTTATATTCATTTCCTAATTTTTTATGCTGGTTACGAGATTGGTCAAATCTACCAAACTCATACAGAGATTTGTTAGTGAAAATAACAGATAAAATATAAAGTTTTTTCTTAAGAAACATTTGATAATTTTTGGATGTTATAAAGATTTTGCATTGGAAATTTGAAAATTTTCTGATGCAAAAAAAACTATTTACAATCTTAAAATGAAAATTACTTTGCATGTTGGATAGGTAACATATGAAAAGAAAAAAAAGGCACGAGAAAAACATTGCTTAACAAACCTTAAGACTTAATAAAAAAATTGATATTTTGCACATGAAAGCATTGTAATGTTTACTGATAATCTGCCAAATTTAGTTAACATTTGCTTACTAATTTAAAAATTATAGCATGAAAACTATAACAAGCACAAAATGGTTACGAGGTCAGTCCTAGGAACCAAGCCCATGCTGAAAGAGTTAAAGTATAAGGTATCATGTACGATGCAATATGTAATGTAATAAGTAATGGATCTGTTGGAATTCTGAATACAAATTATTAGTTCTTTATAAATTGGTGTAACTTGTAAAATGGATATAGTTTTTTTATCATTACAAGTTGTGAGTAGCTGATGAATTCTAGTACTGCACACATGGGAATGAGGAGATAAAAAGTCACTAAGTTTATTTCAAAGTTACCATGAAATTTATTCTGGATGGAAATTTCTAGTATATGGTATGTTTTTAGAATTCACCAATACCAAAACGTTGGTTATTTTTCATTTGCTAAGGTATAATTATAATAGGTATGCTCAGTTTTAAAAGACTGTATTCTAAAACCTCTGTTTTTTCTTCAACTGAGCTTTGAAAATAAAATTTTTCACTTGCCTCTCTAGGTGATGACACAGCTGACATGAAAATCAAGAAACCTCCAGAGCATAATTCATTCAGGGATTTTACAGAAACCTCAGATTCTTTCCAAGATTCCAAATCATCATGTCTCCCAAGGCCTGTTGTTCTTTCGCCAAAAAAGGTGGTAGTTGTGAAGCATGAAAGATCTGATGCATCCAAAAACAATTCTAATCCAAACATAAGACTTAATGCTGGGTGGCCATCCCATCCTTTTAGTAGGACAAGCCCCACCCATGGTTGCTACAAGATAGGTTGTTCTTGTCAGATGCTCAGTTCAGTTGCAAAACATGTTTATCCCTCAGCAAATGAAGCTCGTCCTCCTGGTAGCTCTTTGAACAACATACTGGAAATTGTGGACAAGAAGTTGAAAGCATTTGCTAACAAAGATGAAAACTCAAAGACCCTTGCAGAGCATGATAATGAAGAATCTTGGAAACCTTTACCAGAAAAGCCATCTAACCCTTCCCTTGCTGACTCAGTCAAAAATAGCAGAGCTGTAGGAAATCCTCCTGCAGATAACCAGGTGGAGACAAACCCTAGCACAGACAGCATGGTTAAGTTGTGGATGGACACACATGACAAGCTTTCTGAACAACAAGAAAGCCATGCAGGCAGTGCCCATTGTAGACCAATTGCCACGACCATTATTGGAATGAAAAGGAAATTATCTGCTGAAGAAAGCCATAAATTTATACCTCTGAAACACCTCAGGCCTCATAACAGAGCACACTCATGGACAGGAGAACCTCTGTCTAGTTGCAAAATGATAAACAGAAACATATACTTGCATTCCACAAGGACACGTCTACGCATTCGCAAGATCAAAGTATAAAATCAATAACAAAGGGACTCCTGTACCTGGTTGCCTTTAATAACATTTATCTCATTCAATGAAGAAAACCAGTAAGTAGTGATGTTATGGCAGATATAATACTTATTAATTATTTAATTTTTTTTATGAGCACAAACCATCAGAATTATATTTTGTTAAAACTTTTAAACAAGAATATTTTTAATGAATTAGAAATATGTCATTACCAACCTGCTAACAGTTACAATCAGAAAAATATATTTAAAGACAGTTATTTTTTCTTTCTTTCTCTGAAATGGCTGTTAAATACTTATAATTTGTACATAAAATGGGGTTAGATGGATGTGAGAATGTATTGAAAGATGTTTAGGAATTTTAAACAGTATAATTAATTTAGTAATCTGTGAATGTCTATTTATTAGTTGTTGTTTTTTGTAATATTTAAATAATTCTAAGGTAATTAATATTCTGAACTTTCATGTCATTACTTTCAATTATTAAATAGAAAAACATTTTTAACAGTTTTTAGTTTAACATTTTGTGAAGAACCTACTAAACTGAATGATTAATTCAAAAATACAATAACAGAAACCTTTACAATTAAGAAGTTTTGATTTTAATTTTTGAGATGTTTCAAACCATAGTATTTGGTCATTGTCTGATACTGTGATGACTCAATACTATGGGGTCAGAATGTTGGAATTGTTAAAATAAGAAGTTGCTTACTGTAAAAGTTAGTTATTGTATTTTAGAATTAATTTTTAATTTAGTAATGCTGGTAAGCCGATTTATAATTTCTTTTTTATGTATTTTGAATTGAAGAAATAAGATAACTGTACATAGATAGATATATAAATGCATAAAAAGGCATGAATTTTGGTATGGCTCTTTTAAAATGATTATACATATAGTGTGTCAGTCCAGAGTTCAGTTCTATCCGACTGTTGTAAATATTTCACACAATCATCTGAAGAACAATTGTGTATTATCATTCGATTTTAGGAGCAATAAAATACTTCCTCCAAAAACTTTGGTCTTTCTAAAGTGTTAAATATTTGACTCAATGATGGCACATTCTTCACACAAATTAGTTTTCTCTTACCTCTTCTTATCATCTCTCTTTGATGTACCTTTTAGAGCATTTAAAGACAGAGGCTTGTCCAAAAATAGTAATGGTCAGAACTCTATTTATATAAGCCATTTGATACAACATTTGTATCCCAGCTGGCCTTAAGAGCTGTGGATTGAGGAAAATGTGTTCTTGGCAATGGATAAGACATATTTAGTGAGGTTAGAATATTATTATTATACAATTTTCTAATTCTGGAAAATTCCTAAGGACTACATTAAGAATGTAGTGCTTAAAAAGGTAATAAGCCTAATATTAATGTCTTGTGACAAATATAATTGTAATAATTCCTTCCCAGCTTGTTAAAGGTGTACACGACAAAACTTATGAACATGTAAAAGAATACTAGACAGTATAGTTGCAATAGGGTAATGATAATGAATAAATCTTTCATCACTTCTAAATGAATGCATAAGCTTTAAGAGTTTAGTGCGTGATTTTTGGCATTAGGCACTGCAGGCAGTAGTGTACGTATGCCCCCATAATTACGAGGAGCCCCAAAGGGCCTGATAAATTTAAGAATTGTCAAAAGGGGAAAACATACAATTTAATTTGTTTGAACTAAAGGATGGTTGCACTATTCTGTTAGGTTAATGATATCGATCAGCCAGAATCATTACTATAATTATAGGGAAATAAATGTAGGGAGCTCAATTAATTCTTATTTGGGAGGCCCCAATTTGTATATTAATTATAAATTAACTACTTGGATACAATATGTAGGTGTTATGGTTGAAAATTCAGATTTTGAGCAAGCATGTGTTTAAAAAAGTGCAAGTTTTGAAAGGCTAGCTGGCCACTGAATTAATTATTTTAATGTTTTTCTAAACTTAGCCTGTATCATTAACTTCTCACACAAAAGCTTGTGATGTTTTTATGTTTATAAAGTTGTTTGTTGTTAATTATTTTGAAGTTTTAACATTATTTATAATGGATTTAAAACACAAAATTCTGAAAAATCAAAAATGAAAGATTTCTTTGGTATTATTGTTTTTTAAACATTTCTTATAATACTCCGATTTCCACCTTATGAATCATTTTAATATCTACAAATGGACATCTAATATTACTATCATGACAAGTTTTCTTCAGTTTCTTGCCAAGTAGTAAACGTTGTACTGTCTGTTTATCTAGGATCAGTGTGAATTTATTTTCACTGAGTTATATATTGTCACACTATAACAACACTGAGAAGAATCTTTTATAGTTTTATCACATGAAAAATAAGGGCAATTATGTTTTAATTGAGAATTAGTTTATTTAATAACTTGTGTATTAAATTCAGATATTTCAGTTCTTTGTAACAATGCTATACTATTTTCTTTAACACCAATATTTAAATGAAGAGTGATAAATATCCCAGTTATCTGTAACAATCCTATACTTTTTCTCAACTCTGATTAGTTGTACAGCACACCTTACTATACTAGGGAAAATTGTTATAAATTAGTAACCTAAAAATATTCTCGAACCTAAATCCAATCCATAGGCTATTTGCTCATAAAAGTGAAATCACATGTAGTTGTTGTAAAGTGATAGTGAGTACAGAAAACAATCATTAGCAATGACAGAGAAAAGGAGTGTACAAGATGTTGATCATTTTGCAAAGTTGAATCTTTTGTGAAATACAAATAAATCAGATATATGGGAACATTTCAGCTATTTGGAAGACCATCATAATGAATATGTATGAAATAGTACTGAAATTTAGTGGCATTATTACAAACATATGAAACTATTTACAACTTCTTCACAATATTGCATTTAAAGAGATGCATCAAAGCATTGAGGTTAAAATCCTAGCAACAATGACTTTTAACTGAATCACCATCTTCATCATAGTCATCAAGTACTAGCGACATTAGTTACAGTACTGCAAGTTCAACATCTATACAACAATAACTGAAATTATACAAGAGTCTTTAGCAGCTAAAACTAAGTATCCTAAGGAGAACATGAATCAGAAAAAGGTTACAGAGGTATTAGTAAACTACATAGCTAAGGCATTCATTGCAACCTGTGGAAGAACCTGGAACTGTAATTTTGCTTGAATCTCTAAATCTGTAATACTAAGTGCCTTCAAGGAAAGAATTAAGTGTGAATCTCATCCCAAAAATGTACACCAGCATTGAAGTAGTTGTTATGGATCAACTTTCCAAGACAACTGATATGGTCATTACTTTTGACATGTGAACCTCTAGAGCAAATGATCAGTACCTTGCTTTGACTGTTCATTCCATTAACCAACTCTGGGTTTTGGAAAGCTATATTCTCCTAAACTATGAGATTCCACCACCTCACACTACTGAAGTTATAGCTCAGGCTGTTACTCAAGTGTCTAGAAAGTTGAAGTACTTGTGTCAGACAATTCTTACAACTATGTGAAAGCTGTTAGTAACAGGGATCAAAGTTATACCATGCTTTGGACTTGTTATCAAGAAAGTACTAAACATAAGAATGAACTGAGTTATCACAAAGTGTTCTATGTTGGCTGAGCATTTCCTTCAGTGCTGTTGCTAAATATTGTCTGGTAAACAAGCAAAAACAACTTGGTTTACCAGAAACCAGCTGGTTGTCTGTTGTGAGACTAGATTGAACAGCATTTATTCCATGTTGAAGAGAATGGTAGAGAAACAATAGCCCATATTGGTAGTGGTAGTAATGAAGGTGGATGTGCCAGAATTAGAAACGAGTTATGTGAAAAAGCTGATTGAAATTTTGGATTCTTTTTCAGAACTTATTCAAGAGTTCAGCAATGACTTTTGTGTCACTGTATGAAGTTCACCTACTCTGCAACAGTTAAAAATCCTCCTAGAACTAGCCGAAAGTGACTCGGGAGCAGTGGCGCAAATGAAACAAGCAGTGCTTGAGGATCTTGAAAATAGATATACATCAACTGCCACTATTGATATTCTGATGAAAGTATGCTTCCTGGATGCCAGACTTAAAGATTTGTCTTTCTTGAATGAATATGACAAAAGGAAAACATGTAATATGATACAGGATGAAGCAAAGTCAGTCCAATGAGGAAGGGACACTTTCATGTAGTTTCAGTGCCCAGGAAGTTCAAGAACTACCAATGAAGAAAACAATCATTGCTGGTTTAAAGCTGCTGATGTCTATTTACAAGAATAAGAACATGTGTACAACACATAAATCTCCTGAAATGATAGCTGAAGAGCAAGTGAACACATACATGGCCACTCACTCTCTATATCTACAAGGCAACCCATTGAGATTCTGGGCAGATAATACCCATTTGTCCCACAACTTAGTAGACTTGCAGTCGAGTATCTGGTAATTCCAGCAACCCTGTAGAAAGGTTGTTTAGTAGTGCAGGTTATATTTTCAATGCCAGGTAAGCCTAATTAGATTCAGAGAATGTTAACTTGTTAACCTTTCTTAGCTGCAGTATTTAACTTTGAGGATTTAAGTATAATGATATTTATGTTTCTATTTTGTAATGTATAAGTTGTTATGTTAGTTTCTGTACTTTTAAATAGATTATAAATGTTCTTTTTCTACATTGTGTAATTTCGTGTGTGTTATGTTTGTAACACCAGATATGACACTTAAGGCCTCTACATTGTTGTGAACATGCATATAAACGTGTAAAATGATACTGAATTGTCTGAAATAAAAAGTTTGAAAAAAGGTGTACACCCTACAGTATTGTTGCCAAAAGTTACTGATAAGTAAATATTTTATTGTGTTTAAATATTAAACAATTATTATCTTGTGTGTATTAACTTAGGATTAAATAAGTAACTTATTCCAAATTACTGTGCCTGAATTCTGAAGAGAGGATTTCCTCTGTTTTGATATTTTCTGCCACTTGATAAAAAATATTTGAGACTGAAATCATAAAGTTAATTTCATATGCTAGTTCTAAAGATATTACAAAAATTTTAACCCCGAAATATTTTAGGATTCATTTTTGTCATTTTCTGACATTTATGTAGTGTAATTCATGAAGAAAAAATTAATATTTTTAATTCTACATAGCTGCAGATAGTTTTGCCTGTAAACAAAACAACCCATTTGTCATTTTTTTTTTACATTTTTCAGCCCATTCCAAAGAAATCCTTTATTTCCGCCTATCATTCCTTGAGAATATATTATCCCTTTGTTGAATTTCAAATGCTTTCCTTAGTTTTTGTACAGGTGTTGGACCTTAGTTGAAATCTTGTCATTGTACCACATCAAATGGTTTTATCATTTACAAATGAAAAAATAGCTATAGAGAAAGTTTAAATATGATTGGATACTAGAGCAAGAATTAGACCATTATGTAATAGTAAATACATAGATCTTTTATAATTTTTGCCCTTTCAGTTCCTTTCATTTGTGAACTATGAAAGTATTTGTGTGTTTGAAAGCTACAGAAATTTTCTTCAATGAGAAGAGATTCGATAAGCTGGGATAAGGTAAGCTTATACATTTTATAGATGGGTAACAAAGAAAACTATTACAAGTTCAACACAGTAACAAATGTACATTGTTTGGAGAAGGTTTTGTGATCATCAGGTACAAGTATAGGAAAATATATATATACATAAACAAGTCACATTACTGGAGAATTAATAAGTAATAAGGTATCTGGTTGATGTCTGGTTCTGTGTTTAAATTATGGCATTTTAACTTTTCAGTAGATATACTATATTTTACTGAGTTGTAAAGTATGTAAACAGGAGGGTTTTTTTCTTATGTTTACCAAATAAGGTTAGTTAAGTTTACTGTTTGGCAATATGGTTGGCAAGTGAAAAATATTCTGATAACTGAAGTCTTCTTTATTGAGTACTATTTTTTATGCTTATGTTATTCAAATAATGTATAATTGTGATTTGTTTCAACTAAAAACAAGTGGCGATGTTTAGCTGTCATTAGTGATTCATTCAC